GAAAACACAAAAATCTAGATGCTGCAATAAAGCTGTGACTATTTGGAGGAGCGTTAATATGTGTGCATAATGTCTTGAAGTTTGTTTCTCGCGTGCGCTAAAAGACGCGGGCCAAACAGCAAGTTGGCGAATGAAAACCTCAGGCCTGGCTGGCTGAATTTCCTTAACATCAGCAGCGCAAACAACCCTTGTATTATGTTGAAAAGAAGCTTCCTCAGTACTAGAACTAAAGAAGCTTCTCGGATGAGAGGTGAAACGTCTTCAAGCAACTTAAAGAAGTCCAGATGCTTTTCTTTCCAAGCTCCTTAGACCATGCACCTACTACTGCTGCAAGTCAGTCTGATCCAGTGGCTTCCATTTCTCTTGAAATGCACGCCTCCCCTCCACGTTAGTCATGTCCAGTATAATCCTCTCTATTGGAGGGGATATGAAGAGCTGAAATGTTGATTGAATATCATCAACTCGTATGGCGGCAAATCTTGTAGGACCAGGAGTCATTTTGATGACGTTAGAAGATGACAGCCTGGCTTGACTTGGTGTGGTGATAATGACCATTTTATATTACCATCATCTTTAGATTTCCATGTATCCTCTGTGGATGATGGTTGCTGCATTCCTTGGTTTTCATTTGATGTAGAGATGGCAGCATACTCCGCCTCAGAATCCTCCTGTCCTTTGGAAAATTGGCAGTCTGGATCATCAGCAACAGTGTCCTCAGCCTCTGAAAGATCTTCTGTCTCTGAAACATTTTTTCTTCATCACTATCCCAGTTATAAAGCAGTGATAAAGCTTTTTCAGCCGTCAACCTTCTGGAGCTCATTTTTGGTGTGTTGAAATGACATGAAAACATGACAAGAGCAGGGGAGAGAAAGTTTCTTGCATACACACCTGGGTCAGAATGTATTTTCAGAGGCAATCAAAACAAAGTACATCAAAGAGAAATGTTTATTTTGGATCTGAACATGTTTTTACTTACATATAAGTATGTGGGTCAAAATGACCTGCAACATAATTTTATATACAAACATTGCAAAGACATTCCAGGACACATCAAAGTGTCCATAGTTTACACACCCGTTCATGATCCCAGATGAGGAAAAGTCATGAATTTTCATGAAGAAAATGAAAGGATGACCAGTACTTTGGGTCAAATTGACCCTTAACATAATAAGAAGGTAAACATTGTGATCCTCAAACTTCCGTCGATTCAATGAGAGTGTGACCGCACCGCTTCCACTTCCATTAATATTACACACGCAGTGTCTGTGTGGGTCTTAGAAGTGAGGTGTTGTGTTCATTTACTCTGTTCCCTTCTGTTCACAGTCTGTGTGCTGGAAACGCAACATTTGTTTTGCAATTTGGATCCATAAAACAAAACAAAGTGTGCAACAAAAAACAGATAAACAAAAGGATATGCCCAGTTAATTTCCTGCTATTGAAGTTGATATCACTAAAAATGGGTACATATGAAAACCAAATAAGATTTTGAAATCAATAAATGGATTGATTGATTGATTGATTGATTGATTGATTGATTGATTGATTGATTGATTGATTGAAAGTGCCAACCATCACGCTAATGATTCTCAGTAGAGGTGAGCTGAAGCACCTTAAGATTCACTCTCACAAAATGCAGACTTTAAGAGCAAACTTGTTCAGGAAACACTAAAAAACATTAGAACATGTAAGAAAGAAAACTGTTCCCTGTCTCTGTGTACCGTAACATACACAAATAGACAGACCTGAATATTAATAAAGAAACAAAAAATTATAAACTGACAATTGCATCACCCCAGTCACACCTGGAGTCTCTGAGGCAGAGAAGGCTCACGGCCAACCCAAAGGAGTGTGCTGTTGGACAGGGGAAAGTGGAGTATTTGGGGACCACTTGGGAGGCGGGCAGGTGCATCCTCAGGTGGAGAATTGCATTCTTCTCATGTCCCGAGACCAAAAAGGAAGTGAGACGGTTCTACTACCGTCAGTTTGTGCCTGGCTTTAAAAATCATTACAAACATTACAAGCTGCCCAGAGCTGTGACTGGAGTTACAGTTGTACTAGTGAGGAAATGAATCCCTTGTGACCAGCAGGGTTTGTATCCTATTTTGCGAACATCCCATGACCAGTCAGGAAGTCTTGGAGCTAAAAAAAATTTTGATTGTTTTTTTTTTGGTTAAAATAAGATGGGTCAGCATACACTAGAAATTTCACTTAACTGGAAAGCTAAACCAAGGAGTTAAACATACCACAATAAACACAGGTCCTGGGCTGCAGTAAACCACGTGAGCGCATAACTGACTGTGAGTGGCCTCTTAAGTCAGGTAATCAGACAATATCTTTGATTAGAGTAGGTAATGCTCAGATGATCCATTTTGTGGAGAAGAAAGTCACATGATACCTCAAGTTTGACTTTTTGTGAGTGCAAACGGAGTTATTAACAAAAGCTTATGACCACTATTGTGATATGATCTTTGCCTGCTATTGAAGTTGATATCACTAAAAATAGGTACATATGATTGAAAGTGTCAACCATCACGTTAATGATTCTCAGTAGAGGTGAGCTGAAGCACCTTAAGATTCACTCTCACAAAATGCAGACTTTAAGAGCAAACTTGTTCAGGAAACACTAAAAA